TGAACTATACGCGAATCGATGCGCCCTAGTAGCACAACGCCATTCCTCTTTTTCTTTTTCTTTCCTCCCCCGGCCCAACTAATCCAAATTCAATGTTGGTACTTTTACCTCGAATCGATGCGACTACACGCGTAAAGAAATAATAATAATAATAATAATAATAAAAACGTCCGAAGAGGGTAGAGGACATTTTTTTCCGTGACCAAAAGGGCGCTCAGGGGAAAATAGCCCATTGGGTTATTTACGTCCGGGATAAAATCAATGGCGCGATTCTTTTGAAGGATCGCTCACAAACGCTGAATCAAATAATCACGTAACTTTCAATCAGGTGGTTATTACCAGAGTCGAATGAAGGAAATTCGACGAGTAGGACAGAGAAATTCACGGAGAACGAAACTTTTTTACTTTAATATGCTATCCGCGAATGGGACAAAATTCGCAAGGAATACAATTCCATTTTTTACGAATTCGACGTAGAGATGCGCGCGATGATCGAAAGATCGGTGATATTAGTCCCCGTGAGTGGAAAGATTGTGAAAAGACCTGTGACTCGAAGAAAAAACTTTAACGAAAGGAAAATTTTCTATCGGCGAAGAAAAAATTACGTGCTCGAACGATAATGTAATACCTTGAAGAAACAATAAAAAGAGAACAATAACGATCGAATTAATTCGGGTCACGGAGGCAGATCCTACTTTCGAAGCAAAACTATCAATCGAGTTACTCAATGTCACAGTCAATGAAATAGTCGATGCTCGACGATTACCAATGATTTTTATATGGTTCAAGTAAATAGGCTAACAATAAAGTTGACTAATTTTTCTTTCGATTTCTTATCTGCTCGTTGCCGCCTTTCCTCCTCCCAAACTCAATCCAATATATATATATATATATATATAATTGAACGAAAGAAAGATAAATTTTCATCGGACGAATGCGGATGGTAGAAAGAAGGAAAGGCTCGACGCTCGTAAATCGAGAAGAGCGAAATAGCAAAGTAAGAGAGTGCCGCGGTACGAAAAGAGGTTGTGGGTGTGGGGAGGAGAAGAGCAGGCCGTCGCAAGAACGACGGAGAAGTGGAAAGAACGTATGCGGGTTGTGTAGGGGAATAGGAAGAAAGATACGGATGGTTATGGTCTGATGGGAGAAGCGAGAGAGAGAGGCGAGGAAAAGAGGGAAACAGTGGCAGGCACACCACGTGCATCGACCGAGGTCTTTGTCACTGGAAACCACCGTACTCGATTTCTCTCTTCTTCCTCTCCGTTTTTCTATTCTTCGTAACGCGAAGCCAAACTTCTCTTATTTCGAAAAATCTTCCAATGAAGATATCGAATTTGAGATCGAGTGAGAAAAATACAGACGCTCGTAACAATAGTATCCTCCTATTACTAACCCCGGCAAGACGCTGTTATATATTCCTTTTCTATTCCGCGTAATCGCGATCACGTGCGCCGCTGTACCTCTCTCAACATTCGACAGCTATGCTTAATCCGCCGTACCAGTTCTCGTTCATATTAGCTTCGCAGCGTATTTGCCAAGAAAGTAAACGCAAAAGAAAATTTCCCTTTCCTTTTTCTTCTTTTACTTTGTAGCTCGAACGATTAAGAAAATATATATGATTCGTAAATCTATTCAAAATTCCCGAGATATAAGGGCGTACGATCGAGAAGAGAATTTTTCAAAGTGGAGGAGAAAAAGCCGAACGTTGCCTTTTCTCTCACTTTCGAGAGTGTTTCTGCCCCCCCCCCCACCTCTCCCCTAAGTGGAACACTCCGAAAGAGAGCAATTTGCTTCTAGTTCACGAACGAGTCATCGTCCAAACTACTAATTACGACGGTCCCGCGCTTTCCGATAGAAAACAAATGGTCCGATGAACGTTTACTCGCAACGAAACTGCGCGAGCGCGAAAGAATCTCGATGGAGGGAGAAAGAGAGAGAGAGAGAGAGAGAGATGCAAAGACAGACTACTCTCGCTGTCCGTATATTTCATCGGTAAAACGAAAAAAGCAACGAGAGAGGACGTATAACGAAAAATTGGATCGTTCGGACGAAAACGTATCCCTGGATAATTATTATTATTATTATTATTATTATTATTATTATCATCATCATCATCATCATCATCATCATCATCATCATCATCGCCGCCAAGGGAGTTAGAACGAAGTCGTAATTATTCCTTCCGCAATTAATTAACCTAAACGAGCGCGCGAGATTTGACGGACACACACGGTTTAGCCTTTTGCGGCGGGATGTCACTCTCGTGACGGCACTCGAGAGCCATGCGTTCCACTTTATCGGGGATTATCATGCACGAGGGGCTTATCAACGATATACGTGTACACTTTAATCGCTCTCCCTAACGATCATTCGCATCGGAAATTATTTATCGAACGTAACCAAGTTACCTTTACCCGAAAACCGACTATTTCTCCTCCTCTTATGAGAATACTCTGCGATTCTCTCTCTCTCTTTCTGTCTACCTTTCGTTACGACCAAAATTTGACATTGTCGTCGGTTATCATTGGAGATTGGCACCTTTGATAATCGTATACGTCCACAGATCGAGTCCAATGTCGCTTCTTCCACCACTGCTCTTAACGATCTCCCCTTAATGGACTTTAATAGCCATCTTCGTCTTCGCATACTTCCGTGTACTCTCGAGAGTCTAGCGAAAATAATCTTTCAAGGCCGATGACAGACAACGCCGCGCGTCAAGAGCTTCCAAGGATATGCACGGATTATATATCGCAAGATAGTTTCAAGTTTCCCGCCTTAAATTCGTTCCTCCATAAAGATCCGAGCTTTCTCTTTTTCACTTTCTCCATTTTTATTCTAAATTGTCGTAATAGCTTGGAACGAAAACTATCTTATATATTAACTCCGATTGGTTAGATTTTCCTCTCCTACGAGTTACGTTCCAGGCTTTTACGTCGTTTCGGAAAGCAATCACGGTCGACGTAAAAAAGGCGCGCGCGCGCGCGCAATCGCTACATATTACTTTTTATTCTCTGCAAAAAGAAAAAAAGAAAAAAAAAAAAAAAAGAAAAAATGGAGAAAATAATCTGTTAGCGCACGTGGCGCTTCAAATCGTCGACGCGACGAAAGAGAGAATAAATGGCGCCAAGCGTAACGGATAGATGGACTTCATTCGCTGTCAAATCGTAACTGCACGAGAAGCAATCGAGCGATTTTATTGATGAAAGAAAAATATACCTGCCCGCATGATAATAAATAAAAGAACGAGGCAGAAAAGTTGAGAGAAGGAGAAAGATGGAAAGTATCGAACGTACCATCTGTTTTTGCGTTGTCAGGACGACGAGTACTACTCGGACGGTTAGAGAAGGAAGGGACGAAGACTGATGCCGATGGCCGCGAAGAAGAGAAAGTAACGTAATCCACGACACCCTTCGCATCTTTTCTGCGAATCTCTTTCCCCCCCCTTTCCGCGTCCGATCACCACTTGGCATAACGCGTTGTCACGACGACCGATGAGGAATGTAAAGAAAAACAAAAAAAAAAAAAAAAAAACAAAAAAAAAAGGAAAAAAAAAGAACCAACGAAACCAAGAATAACCAACATATAAGGAAACGTTCATTTATATAGAATCGTGCCGTATACATTCCGAGTTCGGAACATTGCACGACTGTTAATGCTTTATTATTTATATACAACCGTGCCGTGCCGTGCCGTACCATTTAATCGTCCAAATATTTATATACATCGGAGAATGTCCAGAATGCATCTGAAATATAAACGTGTCAATCGGTTTGACAATTAAATGTCTTGGGGGAAAAAAACCTTCGCGTACTTTTACAATTACACCAGAAAATAGAAACAATATTCATAGGGATCAAACGCAAGCGTGATGTATAAAAATCGTGTGACGTATAAAACAATGAAAAACAATTTTGTGCATTTCGTTGCACTTCCACGACGCAATGCACATCTTATATAAACGAATCTTGATCCTTTTCCCACTGGCTGGCTACTACGATATACACGTTATATATTCTCATATAACATACAGCAACGTACGTATTTTCAAAAAAGAAAAAAATAACAAATGCATTTTGTACAATTTTATTGACTAACGCGCGCAGTTGGTACGATAGTACGTATTTTCGCCGCTAGTCGAGCACGAAATTCAAATGGCCGAACACTCGAGAAAGACAAGCTTTGTTTTCTTCGTAATAGACGCATTAGAGAGAGAGAGAGAGAGAGAGAGAGAGAGAGATGTTGTGATTCTTGAAAATGTGCGTGCGTGAGGAGGGGAGGTAACTACGCGACGAGAAGGCAGAAATGAGGAGAAAGCGATAGAAAAAGAGGGTGAGTGCCATCGAGCGAGCAAACTGGGGGAGCCTAGGACGAGAGAGAGAGAGAGAGAGAGAGAGAAAAGATGGCAGAAGGGGATAGACAAAGCCTCGACGCGTTGTTCCCAAGTCCGGGCGTACCTCTCGTGTGCGACGAGCATACCTATATACACGCTCGCTTCTTCTACGGTATATACAAGCAAACGATATATCCAAGCAAGAGAAGAAGGGAGAGAAACAAGCGATATTCCTTTTTCGTGCGAGTCGTTCTACGAAAGGAAACAAAGCGTGTAGCGTCTGTATGCCAGAACAGAAGGGAGAGATAAAAGGAAGGGGGGACAGGACGCACGAGGACGAAACGTGCAGGTAGAGGAGCAACGCTTTCTCTCTCTCTCTCTCTCTCTCTCTCTCGTTCGCTCGCTCTTTCTTTCTTTCTCTCTCTCTCTCTCTCTCTCTCTCATCCGACCGGTCGACGTGAGACGAAGAGAAGAAAGAAACGAACGAGTCGGGGAGAGAAGAAAAAGAAGACATGCGAAGAGTGAGAGAGGTTACGTCTCGAGGAAAAAAACGACAAAAACTCTTGCTCGCGTTTCGTGTATATGTGTGTGTGAGAGAGAGAGAGAGAGAGAGAGAGAGGATAGGCAGTTGGAAAGAGAAAGAAAGAGATTGTAGTGGTTCGTAGCTTACCCGACTGCCGGGAAGGTCGTGTAAGGAAACATCCTGACTCTTCTTAACTTCCAGGATCCCTGGCTTGCGTTCGGCTTTTCTCTCTCTCTCTTTCTCTCTCTCTCTCTCTCTCTCTCTTTCTCCCTCTCCGTTTCTCCAAGTATCCAGATATCGCGGTGTATCGCGATAACGATCGTTATCTCTCGCGTAGCTTTTTTTTCGCTTGAGTTCCTTCTCTCCTTTCCTTTCGACGAGAACGCTGAACCGAGAGACAAGGTAGCGCGTGGAAAGGAGAGACGACGCGCACGACGGCTGCGAGGACGACTCGGTAGCAAGTTCAAGGTCTCCGAGAGCACGCGATACGCGACACGATGCGACGCGACGCGGCTAAAAGGATATACCCAGCGAGGAGGGAATAAAGAAAAAGAAAAAGAAAAAAAAGAAAGCAAAAAAAACGTTATAGTCGAGAATTCTTCCTTTCTTCTCTCTTCTCGCGGTGGTAACGCGCGGAACGAAACGGAACGCGAGAGCCAGCGGGACGCGCGAGACAAAGGACGAAAGGGATCTGCGAGCAGCGCTCTGGCAGCCGCACGCGAAACCAAAGAGAGAAAGAAAGAAGGACAGATGCCGCACGTACTTTTCTCTCTTGCTCCTCGGTCTTTTTTCACAGATAGGCAGGAAGCACACGAGGCACGGTCACACCACTTTTAGGATATTACTTCTTTATCCGTTTCCTCTTTCTTCTCTGTCTCGTCCTATCCTTTGAGGCCTTCTTCTTCTTTCTCGCGTCACGCGTGCGCGAGAGGACGCGCCAAATCTCTCTCTATTTCGATTCTCGTTGATTTTCTCGAAAGGTACGACGCGACCGCGGTGAGTAAGTCGAGACTCGGGTAAAATCGAGGACCGATCGTTGCTTGCTTCGCCCTAAGGACGGACGCACGCACGCACGCACACACACACATACACACCATACACACACCACACATATATATATGTGTGTGTGTGTATATATATATTATATATATATATATTATAGACACGCGCGCGCGCGCGCGTACGGTCTTAGGACACAAGAAGAAAACTAGAAGGAAACGCGCGTCCCTGCTTCTCTCTTTCAACGATATGCGTCGACTATGCACTCGCACCGACTGCCGGTGCTCGAGTGGTGGGGGTAGCCCCTGCCTCGCCGGCTAGGCGGCAGTGGCGCCGCGCCGGCTGTCACGAGGGAGGGGGAACGTAGCTCGTTGGCTGAATACGTTTACCGGACGTTGAGCGGGGGTGAGGTTAGAAGGGGGCGCCCCTAGGATAGGTCGAAAGGATGCGGGGGGATGAGCGCGGGACGTGAGCGCACCCTCCAACGCACGACGGCCGTCACGCGTACTAACGGCTCTATCTCTCTCTCTCTCTCTCTCTCTCTCTCTCTCTCTCTCTCTCTCTCTCTCTTCTCGAAGTTTGTTGCGACTTTTAATACATTTTCCGACTCGATATCCTTCTCCTTTTTTCACAGAATCTAAAAATGGCCGTTATCGTTGGAGTAACGTGTTGATACGATCAATGACAAAGGAACTCTTCGAAACGAGGCAAGTGTCTTATTTTAAGAGATAAAAACCGAGCGATCATCGTATACACGAACTGCTAACGAATGTTTCGCATTTTTCTACCAATGGCCGTTTTCCTACGGCACGATTGTTATCTGAAAATAACGAGCCGCTTTAAATTCGATATAATAATAAACGATCTATCGACTATGGTGAAACGAACGTAATATTTCTTTGGAATGCGTTCGATCGTAATAGGGAATATCGACGCGTGCCAATAATTCGTAGTACCTCTGCCCTTCGATAGAGGACCCTGTATCGTTAAACAAGCTATAATCCGTTGCGACGGCACTGGCCAAAATTATGACGCGTCCCTTCGGTCGGTAAGCTGTTTGCAAGCTTGATAGAATTAATTAGATATATTCGTACGTGTATACGTTTGCGAACGAAAGCGCGCGCGCGCGCGATTTACACGGGAAATCTCGCTCGCTCCGTGGAGATCGTTTAATGAAAAATTTTTCACGAACGGAAAGACCAAAAACGCAAAACGATGAAATCAGATTTTATTCGGTCGAGACTTTGCGACCGCTACGAGACCGTTAACGCTTCGTCGGACGACGAAGGAGACGACGGCACGTGTTCGCGAAAGAAAGAGAAAAAGAAGATATAAAAAGAAAAGAGAGGGAACCAAGCGTTCGTTACATGTGGTAAGCGTTCGTGCAAAGAGTAAATAACCAAGTACGTGGGGCTCGAAGCGAAACCGGTAAAGCGACGGCGGTGGGTCGACGCCATGAGTTATGCAACCGTAAGACGCATACAGTTCGTGGGTTTATGCGCTCGTAGGAGAACGTTCGACGGAATTATTATCTCTCGGTGAGATATATCGCAACGTCTTTTAGACGAACTACTCTACGAGCTAGCCAATCAACGTCGGATAGTTTTTTTATCCTTCTTTCCTTTTCACTCCGTCAATTTCTTTCTTCCATTTTCTTTCGTGGACCACACGGTAAGCCGATAGGTCATGATCGGAAATAGCTGGCCAACCTCCAAATCGTCGGACAGATTCCGAGCGTGCGAGGAACGTCTCAAGGTGAATGCGTTGACCTTATTCGGTAAATATACGCAACTCTATGTGGTTATCAAGCGAAAAAAGAGAAGAAAGAAATAAAAGCTCGACTCTTGACGAGAGTATAACATTTTTACTTTGAAATCAACGCCGTCGCGAGATCGTACCTATTCCAATTAAAGATTCCCGCGAAATGGGCGCATACATATGGAAAAGTCGATCGAACGGGGCAAGAAAGACGTCGGAGCGGAATGTAAAAATCGCGCGCGCGAAACGAATTCCACTCGAGTCGTTGCGAACAAAAAGCAGGAAGCGTTTCCTCTCTGCAATACGAGCTCCCTTTAAGAGGATTCGTTCGTTCGTTCGTTCGTTCGTTCGTTCGTTCGTTCGAGAGAGAGAGAGAGAGAGAGAGAGGAGACACCTGGGGGTGACCCGTTCGACGGCACTCGTCGTGCTTCCCTGTCCTTCTAGAGACTGGAATCGCGTCGTTCACCCTCTAGCCACGTGTTTCCCTTTATATCCTCGCTGTATATATATATATATATATACTCCCCGATGCATAGGGAGGATGAGAACGGCGGTGCGGTCGTAGCAACTTTATTACGCAAATTCAATTTACCTCGTCTATCGCATCGTCGAGGAGCAACGAACCAGTAGACGGACTAACGCGCGGAGAGAGTACCAAAGTAGCAAAGTAGCAAAGTTTCCGCGATCAATTTGCAAAGATACTAGAGAGCTATCTAAAAAATGACATACCTATTACAGAACGATTTGAACGTTCCAGTACACGTCGCTGCACTTTTCGCGTTCTTATACGTATACGCGCGTAGGATAGATAGATGCCGCAACTACATCGGCCACGCACATTCGGCCGCGATCGTTAAACCGTGTAACTCGGCCTCGGTGAAAGCTATCTGGGTTATTTTACAAAGGAACTCATCCGAGGGAGCTCTTAACAAGTGCTGCGGGTCGTACAAGAGAGAAAGAGAGAGAGAGAGAGAGAGAGAGAGAGAGAGAGAGAAAGAGAGATGGAAGAAGGGAATGAAACAAACGCGGTAACGATTTTGTGTCGACAAAGCCGACCGTTTGCAATTTCACCAAATGGAACTTTTCTTTAATACACGGAACGGGAACATAAGTAACGGACGAACATAAAAAATATCCATGTTTCATCAAACGTATCGTTTACGTCGGACAGAGGTGAAAACCGATAGGAAAGATCTCTTCTCGTTTTACAGGGAAAAAAGATAATTACGGGCTTACTATCTTTGCGAGCATTAACTCGCATTGGAATATCGAAAATGAAGGAACGATTAATAGGCGCAGTCGAGTTCGAATTTTAAGCGATCGCCACTGGCAGCTAGCGCCGTTTGAATATCACGGAAATTGAAACTATAAATTCTGCGATCCCATAAATTCCGTGACTTACCGAGCGTAAACTCTGTTCTCTCTCATGGCTCGAACAGAGAGAGAGAGAGAGAGAGAGAGAGAGAGAGAAAGAGAGAGAGAGAAAGTCGTAAGTACTGTAAAATAACGAGCGCGAGCTAGCTACTACTTCGGAACATTCTCACCTCGAGGCTACGAGCCCGAAAGGCCTCTTACTTACGAAGATTCATTTTATCATTCTCTTCTCGCGTCGCAAACGCGAATAACAGGTAGCTACGTGACAGGAAAGAATTGACTACATAGTTTTCACGAGAAATCTGTTACGTGTACAAGGATCTTTGTTTTTTACAACTGCATCTACTAGTCGCTAACAACGCACTAATTAACATTAGTTCTTTAAAAGTCTTATATTTTCGAGAAGGAAAAAAATTTCTTTCCTAACATTTCGAGGATTCGATTAAATAAATGTTAACCTGTAAAACGTAAAATGGCGCTCGGTTGATCATCGTTTCGAAGAGGAAGGGAGCGAGAGAGAGAGAGAGAGAGAGATCGAAAATGGTTCTCTGGTCGGTAGTAGAACGTATTCTCGTCACGACGAGTTGCACCGGGTGGTACGGTGTGCCAGACACGAGCCGGTCTTTACTACTGACTGCCACTGCTACTACTACTACTACCACTACATACTCTTCTCACCCTTAGTCTCGTTCGACCTCACCCTTCGTTGCCGGAACACTCACTTAACTTCCATCCTTCCTTCTCTCTCTCTCTCTCTCTCTCTCTCTCTCTCTCTCTCTCTCTCTCTCTCTCTCTCTCACTCGCTTGCTCTCCGTCGAGACTTTGCGAGATTTTCCTTCTTATCGCATTTTCCTTCTCTTTCTCGCGCGCTTATCGCTTTCCGCTGCTTTGCGTAATTTTATCCACCACTTACTTGCGACACGTGCTTATAAATACGTAATCGTTGGCTGTCCGACATTATTTTGTTCACTTTTTATCAGATTTTTATCCATTCTCTAGTCATTCTCTCTCTCTCTCTCTCTCTCTTTCTCTTATTGCGGTCGTATCGAATCGAAAAGAAAGGAAAGGTGATAAAGCTCAAAGAGCACAAAACTCTGCGCTAAAGCTCTTTTATTACGAATCTGTTTGTAAACGACACAGCCACGAGATCATGTCATTGAGGTATATCTCCTGGCAGAGATATCGTCCGACGCGATCGTTAGCAAAGTTCGTCCTTCGTCGTACCATCGAGTTTCTGGCCCCATTGTCGAGCCCGATACCGTATCGATTCCAAGGAGCTCGAGGTGGGGCTAAAAGTAGAAGAAAGAGAAACGAATGGAGACCCGATGGAAAAGAGAAAACAAGTGGAAACGGAGAGAATGTTGGTTGGAAAAAAGAGAGAAGGATAGTACAAAAGTACGCGGCCCTCTTCGTTACTCTTATCGAAAACCGGAAGCAGTATCGACAGCCCTGAGGTCACTCCGATCGAAGATTTTTCGATTGTTGCCTCTCACGAATACTCTGACAAAAGAAATCGGAGCAAAGTTGGATCTCTAGTTCGGCAAGGGTGGTCCTACCTTGCTCGAGTTTAGAATTATAGCTGAAACGATATCTTGGTTCGAACGTTTCTCGACACTTTTGCTTCCCTTTTATTCTTGCTCCTTTTTCTTCGGCCCGATGAATTTCTAAAAATCGTAAAAGATTTTAATCGTAAAAACTCTCGCCGTGATTTGACAAGCGTGATTGAATCCGATTAGAAAATTGTGGGGAAAAAAAAGGAAAACGGAAAAAAAAATTCGCCGTCGAAAGTGGCACGCATCGTTGCGCACGAATTAACACACCGACGCGGCGTACGATTTCCTTTCTCCTAGTCTAATCTTTGTTCCTCTCCGTTAATCACGGAAATGCGACGTTAACGAGCGCGATTACATTTACACGAGCGATTACCACACACAGCGGCTCCTCCGTGGGTGTGTGCTAATCGTTGCTCCACATCTACGCTCTTACGATCGATTCGATCGACTCCGAGAGAAGCTACGCACACTCCCTGATATTTTTAACATTATTACAATAATCGGATACACCCAACGATATAAAAGTCTTTCCTCCTTTTATTAGGAAAAGACGTTTGGGACATCCTCGAATTCATTTAACTCGCTTATCGCTCGTTTACATTAATCCTGCCATTAGAGTAATTACGTTGGAATCTACAGGTCGCGTCGGAACGTGCAGCAGGTGGGAGAGGAACACACCGAAACGACGAAGATCATCCTAGTTCCGATCGAAGCTGGTTTCCATGGAGAGAGAGAGAGAGAGAGAGAGAGAGAGAGAGAGAGAAGGAGAGGGTGGGGTGCGAAGGGTCGAACGTGACTTCATACGGGAAAGGGGACGTCCCGTTAGTGAGCTGCCCAACAACGCCGTGGAGACCGAAAACTATCGGGAATCATCTCGAGACGAACTCGTTTAACCGAGCTCGCCTATTCGACGAAGCGAAACCACGTTGCGGCTTTCCCACCGGCAGTTGTCAAGAGATTATCCTTAGGCGAATCTCTAAGCTTCTTTCTCCTCTCTTACGCTGTAGATCTTCTCTATACGCTGTGTGTTAAAGAAAAAATATTTAAATACTTTTTCACTCGGACGTGACATTACTTTCGAATAAATGAATTATTTCGATCTTGCGGGATTTGAGAATATTTTCGAATAATTGCATCTCAACCCTTTCAATATCTAATCGTTTGATCGAATATTTATAGAATATCGGTATCGCCGTTAGTCCTTTTACAAAGCAAAAAAGAGATTTCCGAGGATTAGTACGGACGTATCGTCGACGTTCTCCTATTATTCGCTATTCACGATAATATTATCCGTTACGTAGGA